GGTTTGTAAGGCCAGCCTAGCATTGTATATATTAACACTGTTCCCAAATGCCCTGCGTACCCAAAGTTGGAAAGCAAGCACAGAAGCAAAGCGCACTTCCCACAGTATGATGAACAAAAACAGACATCAGTCTTTCATGTCTTCTCTCCCTAGGGTTTTGAGCAAAAGACAATGCAGAAGAAAAAAAAAAAGTTGTTTTTGGTGTTGTTTAAGGCAAATAAGCCCTTCTAGGGAATCCACCTACTGTAAGTTTCACTATGTGGGTATTTTGTACCTGTTCTTAATCTCACAGGGCAAAATGAAAATTGCTCATGAAGACGTAGTGTTAGGAGTCAAAAGAAGCGAAGCCACAACTCTGTGCAAAAAAAATATAGATATGTTTGCTGATTCGCTTGTTGAAAGAAAAAAAATAGCAGAGGTGAAAGAAAGGAGAAGAGAAGAAAAAGATAAGAGAGTAATACAGAAATATCCATAGGAACCAAATTCAAGACTGTCCTCAAATACAAGAGAGAACATATTCAATGAAACACTCATACCAGTAGGAGACAATGCCCCATTTACACTTTGGTTCCTACTCACTGAGATATCAAACTCCTGTTCCATGATTAGCTTGCAGAAAGCCCTGTTATAGTAAGTCCCCAATAGCAGCATATTTCCAGTTCAATGACTAGTACAAAATGCTTTAAAAATGTTCAGTTATTTATATGTTCTAGTCATTTGGGGAGGAGGTGAAAGTTATCTTTAAAAAAAATTAATCACCCACCGGGAAATACTCATTATTTCCCTCAAAATGTCTTGAAACAGTTTATCATTTACTTCTTGAAAGAAGGTAAACTAATCACTTTGTACTTACCTACTACATAAATGAGAAAGCAGTCTTGATGTTCACACCATGTGTTTATCACGTACAAAAAAAAAAAAAAAAAAAAAAAGGACACAGTATTGAGCCTGCCTCACACTAACAATAATCTTTAAACAGTAATTTCAAGAACATTTGACTATAAATATACTGGAACAAGAACTATGAAAATTTAGTGTGCATGATAAACTAACCACAAGATTTTACAATGCCATTATATAGCTAATGAAATAGCTGGTCATGAGGAATTTTACAGCCTCCTTAAATATGTCACATCAGATTCAGGAAATATTTAAACTCTTAATTTCTATTTAGGACTTTAGCTCCTTACTACATTAAGATCTTGAGCTGAAAATCAGAATTGTGTGCTCTCCAAACAAAGCAAGATAAGGTGACGAGAACAGCCTTGGGGTGCAAAGGCTGAAGAACTGACATCCCTCTACATGTATCCACCACTGACTGCAGAAAGTGTCCGGGCTCAAAACCAGCAGCTGTTCAAGGGACAAGGCAGTGACTTGCATACTGTGTATCGTATATAAGGAAGGTTTCCAGGCACTTCTGTGTAGCATGAGAAGTCAAATGCACGCACTGCTGTGGGACCATAGAACACAAGAGGCTTTTATCAGGGGACTCAGATGCCAGTAAGTCTTAGGATTAGAGAGTGTGGTGTCTTCAGCTAGTTCTGAGGAAGCAGTCTGGCAAACACCGAAGTCCACCCCATCTCCCAGGTGAATTCTGTCACTTCTGAATAGCCAGCTTAATACAGACACCAAAACGCAGTTCAGGGACAAAAAAAAAGGGAGAAGAAGGAGCCAGCTGCATTATCAGGACAGATACACACTTTTTGTCTCCTGAGTGCCTGTTGCCAGCAGTATGGTCATTAGGATTCTCAGAGCTATGAAGAGACAAGAGAATGACCCAGCCCCTGGTCCTACCCAACGCGGAGCATTGGAGAGAGGCAGCATTTGTGACATCCATATAGAGGGAGCAGGGGTGGTGGAAGATGCTTTCTCAGGTATCTGAGCTACTGACTGTCCAGATCATACAGTCTGAGGAAGGCTACGTACTGTATGTAGTTCAAAATTTAAAAACTGAAGAAGAGTCCTCAATTGATGAAATTGCTGTGGAATCATAAAATGGCCTTCAAGTATTTTGAAAAAATTAATATACCTGCAGTTACATCATCAAAAGGGATTGTAGAACAGAAAATGGGCACATGTAAGAAACAGAGATGAATAGAATTCTGCAAAGAAAGAATTACTTCAGTTTCAAGCATTAGGCATTGTTTATATTCTCTCACTTTGTGAGCACATGCACGGATTATCACTTGAAAATCAAAAACAATGATGTTAGACATGTAAAGCTCTCTTAAAACTCAGTTACAATTGACTGGGCCAGTTCCCCCTCTGAAAAAAAAAAAAAAGGACAATTAAAAATGAGACAATCTTAGAAACGTCTTTGATGATACTGCACTCTGCTTTCCAAGTAGATGTTCAGTCAATAATTTCTAAAAGGAAATAAAACTATATGTGAAATTATTAATATTTTTTCCCTATTGCGTTCACTTCACTTCTACATTTTTCAGGACACTTCGTTATTCTTCATTTGATCTTCATTGATTGGTGTGTTACAAGTGCAATTTCCATGAACGATGAATCAAATTTATTCTCTTCTTAAAAAAAAAAAAAAAAAAAGTCAAATCTCCTCACACATATTAACTGCTTCCTTTATCTTTTCCTCACCCATCTCTATTCTGCTGTTTTCATTACTAACCAAGCTGGCTGGTTGAGAAAAAATATGTCTCTCCTCCCTCATAAACTTCTATGTGTTTAGCCCACCATTGTTGCCCTGATCTGGAGCCAAGCCAAACTTCTGTATATATCAATGCAAAGAAATATTACCTCACATATTCAAACATTTTGAAATAATAACCAAAAAAAAAAAAACAAACAACCAAACAAAAAGCTTTCAGGATTCTCCAAATGAAGAAATTTTAGAAGCTGTGTATCCCACACTGTGCTTCTGCATTTCCATGTTTTTTATAACCAGCTTGGAAAAGGAAAATTTTCTTGTTTAAAGCTAAGGCATTTCATGCTGACATACTTTGTCTCATTTCGGAATAATATCACAGAAATGAATATAGGACTGAGTATCTAAAATTCTCAAATTAATTGTGCAACACCAGGATTTAAATGTTTCTTGTAAGGCTTAGAAGCATACACTTCAATTTATTAGGGATTTTGTTTATATAAAACATCTAAATATTCAGAATTCAGTAAGAACTAAGAAGGACTTTGAGGACATAAACTTTCATTTTTAGGGGATTTCTGTAGAAGACAGCACAAATCTTTTGCAGTTCAAGTCAAAGAATACTTGCAGCAAAGATACGGAAGGATTGATGATCAGGTGATGAACACACAGACTTGGGTCAGTTAATGCTCATCAAGCAGTTTTCATGACAAAAGATCTAACATATGCTTTACAATATGGACCATATCAATGAGATGACTGAAATTTGAGTTTAAAGCTAGATAGGGGATATTTCAAGATATTAAGTGAATTAATGTTACCTATGAAGACTCCTTGCCTGAACTGGTAGTACTGAACTGGAAGTACTATGTTTTATTAAAAATGCTTTGCATCTTCAACCAAACTGAGCTTTGCTAAGGGAGAAGAAGTATCAGTCAATGCTGACAGCAATGATCTGAGTGCAATTGTAATGAGTTGAAGGCTGAAATGAGCTCGACTCCC